AGGGAAGGAGGGCTGGAATACCGGGACAGACGGACGGATAGAGAGGCTATGAGGAAGGAGGGATGGGGAGCAATAGGGACCAGCAGGCACAGCCAAGCAGCCAGGTCAGATCCATCTCCTGGGGAAAAATCCCCATGGAAAGGCACGGAAGTAGCAGCACCCAAAGGATAATAAGGATTCTAGCCTGTTTCTCCTCAAAACGTGTTCTGCTGCTCTCATGGTGCTGCAAGGGAGGAGCATTGTGCTCAGCTCCCGCCATAAGATTCCCCGGATCTGAAACCTCCTAAAGACATTGGAATTGCTCTGATTCGGGGCATTTCCCGGTACTGTCACAAGCTGGGGAAGGGCAGTTCCTGGAGCAGGACAGGGTGATCCAGGCGGATCCTTCCTCACCAGCAGCTCCCAGGGGACTTAATGTGAAAACGCCACAGGTTATTTGGGGAATGGGGAGGGTAACCCTAAAGCTGGATTTTGATGGGTGAAATCCTGGCATTAACTCACTGCTTTCCCAAAATCCATTCAAACAACCCTGTGAGTGACTGGCATCTCCCGTCCAGCAGCCGGGCTATTGCTCCGACTGCTCCATCGACCCTGGGTTCCTCCTATCCACATTGCAGGCTCTGGACCTGCTCCTCAGCAGGGATAAAACTGCTCAATGCTCCTCGACTGAACGTTTTCCTGGGAATGTTTTTTTGACGGGGGGATTGCTGAAAAGACACATTTATGTTTCTGCGTGATCAAGGGATCTCTGAGACATGGAGCAGCTCGCGGCTCCTCATAGGGAAATTGGCAGTTGAAAGGTCAAAGCTGTTTCTGCTTCTCCTTGTTGGAGCTGCCTGGGATTAGGAGGAAACCCCTGGGTCAGGAATAGGGGAGGTCACGGTGGGGACAGAGCACCGGGATCCGGAGATGAGGCCCTGGTGGCAGAAGGTGGGAGGAAACCCCGGGGACAGGCTGGACCCAGGGCCGGACCTGCCCCATGTCCCTCCTCGGGTCACCCGGGATGGAGATGGGGATGTTGGTGCAACCTGGGGCAGTGGGAACGGGGGCTGGTGGCCACAAAACCCCTGAGCAACCGGACCCGGCCGGAGCCGGGTAGGGCTGAGGTCTGACGAGCTCGGGGAGCCCCGGGGCCAAGGCCAGGAGCTTCTCTGGGACAAGTGACGCCACGGCCAAGTCTGGCTGATGTTGCCTTGTCACCGCCAATGTCCTTATCTGGCCCTGTTGCCTTATCTAATCCTGGTCTCCACTTTCCATTCATCCGTGCACCCATCCATCTATCCTCCATCCCTCCATTCATCCCTGCATCCATGCATCCCTTCCTCCCTCCCTCCATCCCTGCATCCATCCATCCCTCCATCGCGGACCTGAGGAACACGGGGCCACCTCCGCCCGCGCGCTGGGCACCCGGAGCGGGGCTGCCAGCGGTGGCCACCAGCAGCCCTGATGGCCCCATCTGGTTCTCGGGCAGCCCACGCTCCTGCCACGCTGTCGGGCTTCATTCGCTGACAGGTACCGAGACCACTTGCGCAGTCCACAGGCGGGAAACCATGCCGGTCCATCCCTCCATCCATCCCTCCATCCGTCTGTCCCTCCATCCATCCCTCCCTCCATCCATCCATCCGTCCATCCATCCATCCCTCCATCCATGCATCCATCCCTCCATCCCTCCATCCCTCCATCCCAGCGGATCCCCCCCAGCAGCAGGGCTCGCCGCCGTCTTTTTCCTTTTTTCCCGAGGGAAACAGGAGCCGCGAGCGCCAGGCTGGGGCCGTGGGGAGGGGGACGGAGCGGCGACAGCGGCAAGAAAAGAGGAGCCCGCGGCCTCCCCCGCGCCGCGCAGAGCCGATTGCTTTCAGGTGCCGGCCGGTTAATAAAATAAATCTGCCCCTGGAGCAAGGAGGAGGTTTTGGAAAAGGGGAATTTTTCCCCCCTTTTTTTTCTTTTTTCCCTCATTTTCCTTCCCGAAAGCTAAACGCAAACCAGAAGGTAACGGACAGCAACTTGTTGGCTCCGTTTGGGCTTCACGGTCCTTTTGAGACACAATTGAAGACAGGCGGCTCCGGTTTGGGGTATTTTCCTCCTTTTCCTTTCCCCCATCCCAAATTTCTCCCCAGATTTCAGGATTTGCCCCGTGTGAGCACACGGGGGGAGTTTCTCTGCCTCCCCGGTTCCCGCTGCCTCTCGGGAGAAAACTGCTCCTCTCACGACTATAAATTTTCCACTTACGTTTTAAGGGAAGAAAATGTTTTCCGGTGCTTTTGCGGCACTCCGTCGGGAATGATTACTCCCAGATTTATTGGGATGTTTTTGCAGGGAGCCGGCAGTGCCGGGTGCTCCGGACGCTGCCCGCGGGCTGCACTTGTCGGCCTTGGTCCTGATTTACGGAGCCCCATTTCGTCGGTGCTGGTGGGTACAACTTTCAGCCTCCCCCTGCTTGGCGTTTTCCCTTATTTAGCCCCAAATTTGCCCATTCGGCCCCGTTTTACCGACCCCTTCTGCTTTCTAAGCCCCAGACCCCCAGTGTCCATGTACTGCCTCCAGCTCTCCCCTTTCCCCTTCCCAATATATATAAAATTTATATATATTTATATATATAAATATTATTTATTTACTCTTTGGGTTTTTTAGAGTTTTTTTATCATTATTTTCTTGTTTTATTTTTTTTTTTGTTCTTTTATTTTGTGCTTTTTATTTTGCTTTTCTGTTTTGTTATCTTCCTTCTATCTTTCTTCCATTCTCTTTAGTCTACTATCTTTATTTTGCTTTCTTATTTTGTTATTTTTTATTTTGCCTTTTTATCTTTATTTTACTCTTTTATTTTTTATTTTTTTGCTTTTATTTGGTTATTTTCATTTTATTTGCTTTGTGTTGATTTTTGGAGAGGGTCCTTAATTGTGCAAGGGTTAATTTTTTTTTAGTTGGTTTGCTTTAGGTCTTTTAGTTTTCAGAGGCTTTTACACTTACTGGAGTTTCTTTTTTTTTTCATTGCATTTATCTTGCTTTTTTTTTTGTATTTTAGGAGTTTTTTTAATTTGTTAAATTTAACTTTTTGGGTTTTTTTTTTTTAGATTTTTCCTTTTTTCACTTTTCTTATTCTTTTTACTCTGGGACACTGGGCAGAAAGGGACCAGGCACCCCATGAATCCCAGCTGGACTCGGTGCCACCAACTCGCCGCAATCCCGGAGCCCGAAGGAAACGCGGGAATCCGCGGGCCGATCCCGGGGTTTAAGGCAATTTGCTCCGCGAGCTCCCCCGGGGGCCATCACATCTCAGAAGCACTTCATAAACACTTGCTTTTTTGTTGTTGTTTCCCGCTTTTTTCCCTAAATTCAGCAGCTGCAGAAAACTGCTAGTTTTGACACTGCTCTGGATTGAGCCAAAATAGATTTTTTCCTTCTTTTTTCCCCCCCCCAGCCACGGGAAATGCCACCGCAAACAAAAGCGGCTCCGGGCGCTCGCCCCGCGCTCCGCGCTGCCGGAATGACGAACCGCGTTTGCTCCCGGGGCTGGGATTGCACCCGCATCCCGCTCCGTGCTCCCTCCATGGGCCGTAGCACTTAGGATAAGTTATTCCAACATAAAATTCCTGCTCCAACTTATATATTAGTGCAAGGATGGGGGGGAACGCGCATCCGCGGCGCGATCGGACCGCGAGCTCCGTGAGTTCCCGTCCGCTTGCTGGTACAGAAATGCCCAGGGCTTTTGTGCGTAACCCAATTTACACATGGGAAGTTATCAGAGAATTGCACTGGGTGGCAATAAATGTGTGGGACACAGAAAGGAATTTTTGCACTATTAATTATTATTTATATTGTTAATATTATTATTATAATACGCGGGAGTTGGTTTGTGCTTGTGCTTCCTTAGCGAGCACTAAAAGTGGGATAATTTGGTGCTTTCTCAGCTTCATTAAACGCCAAATCCAGCTTTTGGCTCAGCAGAACTGATGGATTTTCTGTCTGCTCAGGACGAGTGGCGCTGGCTCCCGCTCTAACACAGAGCAGGGGTACGATCCGCATGGAAAATTCCCGCCTTGGGGAATTAAATAAAGTCATTTTTCCTGGGGGGAAAAAAAAAAATCCCAAGTCCAGGCACTGCCGTTTGATCTGAGTGAAGCAAAGTTGCCGCTCCACAAAAAATAATCATCGGCAAAGAAGCTAAAACCAGAAAACTTGTCCGAAAGCCCAGGGAGGAGCTTGGGGAACAGGCAGGGAGCTGGATACGGAGGGGAGTCCCCGGGCTGGGAAGGAGCCTCTGGATCCAGCGCTCCTGCTCACTTGCCAGGGATTCTATGGGATGGAGGGTGTTTTGGTGACTTCTGCGCTGGTGACTTGTCCCCAGGCTTGTCCCTTCGGCTTCGGGAGCGAGCCAAGCGTGTCCTCGGAGCAGGAGGATCCTGCTTTGTCCTTGGGAGCGTTTCCAAAGCTCGCGGTACCTTTGCAGGTCTCGGTGATGCAGGGAGCTTCCTTCAAGATGCAAATCCTCTTGACATTAAATAAAATTGAGACGCAAAACCTTGCTCCAAGCCAGGAACAGAACCAGATGCATTCCGTCCTGCAATCGAATCGGACACGGGGAAAAGCTGCTCCTCAAAACCCCTCGGGTTTTTCCTCCACAAGTGGCTCTGGTTTGGGACAAGGGGCCACGAGCAAAAATGCCGGATAGCGACGGGCTCCTGCCTGGGAAGACAGCGCATCCCAAAGCATCCTGCACATCCATCACTATGAAAAGCCTTGAAACGCCCATAGGAAAACGAATAAACCTTTATACTAGTTATGCTGTGTTTAATAACACTTAACGGTTTGTTGTGGACCAGCCGGCATAGAGACCTGGGGTAGCCACAATTCGCACTGTAATTCCCCCCAAAGGAGGGGGAAAAAAGGGAATCCTGGCCCTGCCAGGCATGGGGAAGGGACAGCAAAGGGAAAGGGCTGCTGAGGGGACCTGGCCGGGATTTACGGCGTGCGGAGCCTGTCCGTAAAGGGGCTTTTCCGCAATGCTCCGGCGCGCGCCGCTGCCGTGAGCGCTGGGGGGGCGCACGGACT